GTTTCAAAAAATTAATAATTGGCTAATATTACAGAGAACAATTCAGCAATCAAAAATTACAATATAAATATGCAGTGTGTATATATATATATATATATAATGTTAATATAAAATTAATAACGAAGACCAAGTTGGGAGAATGACTATATATATCTTGACTGAATTGTTCTTTGCAAGTGTAATAGGTAGATGAAAAATTTGTTTAACTAATAAAAGAAACAGCAAGTAGCCAGTGATGTGATTTAGTACTAGGGTGAACACAATTTTTTTGTGGTATTTACTGTATGCAGCACGAGTTCTTGTGGCCATTCTTTAATTTAAGACGTGATTTTGGACGATATCTTTCCAAAAATGCAAGCTGTTTGGCATTTATGGCTCCACGACGTTTTCTAAAGAAAAAAGTACAATCGTTAAGTAATATAAAAGGAAAAATATTTTCATATTATTTCTTGTAAGCACGACGTAAACACTGTTTAGTACGTACTTGATAATTATTAGTAAGGAAACAACAAGAAAAAAAAAACGTAGGATTTCCTTGTTCAGGAATGAAGACTACTTTATAATTTATATCCACATACATCCCCACAATTACGGTTAATAAATGAAAAAGGCGTGACAAATAGTTTTTATTATAGCATTCGAAAAAGGTTGTTAAAGGTGTATGGTTTGAGCACGGCGTTGTAGGGGTGCGAAACATGGACAGTGGGAGCGGCGGAAAAGAAAAGGTTAGAAGCGTTCGNAATCAACAGTAATTGTTTATTTAAAATTGATACTTCCGATTACATAAAGTATACCGAATTAATAATTGTATACCGCTTTTAGGTTATTTTCCAGCATCCTGCACAATAATCTGATTTTAGTGAAGTTAGAAAGTTTGACCTGCAAATAAATGTTTAGAGGGTATAATAAAGAGGTGTATAGACTAGACTAGATAACAATTAAATTAAAACTTTTTATTGACTTACATAACAAAATAGATTTTCCACAGATTTGAAACAAGACGTGAAAAACAATTTTTGTATGCACACAACGTTTTTTGTTTTTTTAAGTAAATACGGTTAACGTCGAGTATATTATAACGAGTAAAATAATAATACTCAATAATTATTTTGAAAGAACACCTACAAATTTAACACTGAACGTGCATTTTCTTTTTCTAAAACTGAATAGGTGGACACGATAGAAAAAAGTAAAGGGACAACCATTTTTTTTTTTTAAATAAGAAACCAAGCGCCTGTTTCAAAAAATTAATAATTGGCTAATATTACAGAGAACAATTCAGCAATCAAAAATTACAATATAAATATGCAGTGTGTATATATATATATATATATAATGTTAATGTGCGTACGTAAAGACAGGGTTTTCTCTATCACCACCAACTCCTATCAACTTCCCGTTGGGGTGGTAAATACCCCTTGGTCTCCTGCTGAAAGTAAGGGAGTTTGGTCACGGTGG